TACCTCCCGTCGTTCTCTACGAACTTGGTGGCGGGTTCCGCGCTCCAGGACGCGGGTGTTCACCAGTTCACCCCTGCCTACGAGCGTGTGACACACTGCACGTGTGCTCAGACGGGTCGTCACCTGGCTACCTTCACCCGGCAGCCGGGGTCGGACCTGTAGACATTGACCACAGAGTCCCCTCAGGTAGCTGCGTCTGCATCTGCGTCAGGTCAGTTGTCCGCCCCCTGCTCGTGTCGCACCCTGTCGCACCGGACGGTCCTCTGGCACCACCGCCTTGGTCACCCTTCGATGCAGCGCCTTCGTGGCATGCACTCCCGTTTCCTTGTCTCTGGTCTCCCCAGGTCACTGCCTCCCCTGCCACCGTCCCCTGCCTTCCCTGTGTCGAGGGGCGGCAGCGTGCCACCCCTCACTCCTCTGAGTTCCCCCCGACGGAGGCTCCTCTTCAGACCCTTCACATGGACGTGTGGGGCCCAGCCCGCGTCCATGGACAGGGCGGAGAGCGCTACTTCCTGCTGGTAGTTGACGACTACACGCGTTATACCACAGTCTTCCCCTTGCACACCAAGGGAGAGGTCCCTGATGTCTTGATCCCTTGGATCCGCGCTACCCGTCTCTAGCTGGAGAGGCGCTTTCGCACGGACCTTCCCGTCCTGCGACTGCACTCTGACAGAGGTGGTGAGTTTTCTTCCGGCCTCTTGAGAGCTTTCTGTCAGGGGGAGGGCATTGAGTAGAAGTTCACGCTTCCGGCCTCTCCGCAGCAGAATGGGGTTGCTGAGCGCCGCATTGGCTTGGTCATGGAGGTCGCTTGTACCTCCTTGATCCATGCGGCTGCCCCCCATTTTCTGTGGCCGTTTGCGGTCCGGTACGCCGCGCATCAGCTCAACCTCTGGCCCCGTGTCTCCGTTCCGGAGACCTCGCCGACACTGTGTTGGACGGGAGAGGTTGGCGATGCGTCTGTGTTCCGGATCTGGGGATCTCGTGCCTTTGTCCGGGATACGTCCGCGGACAAGCTCTGCTCCCGCGCCGTTCCTTGTGTCTTCCTGGGCTTTGTCCCTGACGCGCCTGGCTGGCAGTTTTACCACCCCACCTCGCGCTGTGTCTTCCCCTCTCAGGACGTCACGTTTGACGAGTCGGTCCCCTTCTACCGTCTCTTCCCCTACCGCACTGCCCCGCTCCCCCCTCGGCCGCTCTTCCTCACGCCAGGTGCTGCTTCGGTAGACCCCCTACCTCCCCAGGGTCCTGCTCCCTCAGGTGTTTCCCAGGTAGACCCGGTCGAGCCTGTCGAGGTAGCTGTCGACTCTGGTCCTGCGCGAGGTACTGAGCCTGAGCGTGCTGAGCCTGGTGGTGCTGGGTCTGGGGGTACTGGGACTGGGGGTGCTGAGCCAGGGGGTGCGGAGACTGGGGGTGCTGAGCCTGGGGGTGCGGAGACTGGGGGTGCTGAGCCTGGGGGTGCTGTGTCTTGGGGTGCTGAGCTTGGAGGTCCTGAGCCTGGGGGTGCTGTGCCTGGGGGCGCTCTCTCTTCCCAGCAGCTGCGTGAGTGGTACTCTCGGTTCTGTCGCCACCGACGTGGTGTTGTGGGAGCTGGAGGTGCTACTGGAGCTGGAGCTGAGGGTGCTGGGCCTACTGGAGTTGGTGTGGCTGCTGACCCTGGGGTTGGCGCTGGAGGTGCTGGAGCTGCTAGGACTGGAGGTGCTATTGGAGCTGCTGGAGGTGCTACTTGTACTGGGGCTAGTGGTGCTGCAGGGGCTGGAGCTGGAGGCGCTGCCGCTCGTCCTACTGGAGGTGCTGGAGCCGACGGTGCGACTGGGGCTGATGCTCCTGGGGGTGCTGGAGTTGGCGCTATTGGAGCTGCTGGTGGTGCTGCAGGAGTTGGAGCTGCCGCTGGGGGTTCTGGTGCTGTCTCTACTGGTTCTGGGGGCACTCCACGGCCGCGGCCGTACTTCGTTCCGCTCCTTCAGCAGGTTCTTGGTCAGCCGCCTGCTACTTGTCCTGCTCCCTCCTTAAAGTGTCCTCCGCCTGTCCGGTCGCAGTCACAGTTACAGCCTACCTCGCCACTCCCTGGTCCTTCTCCCTACACTGGTCCGACAGGAGGTCTTACAGAGCGTCGTGAGCTTGAGTCTCGTCCTGTGTCGCCGGAGTCTCGTCCTGAGTCGACTGTTCGTGCTGCTCGCACTGGTCATCGTGTCCCGCGTCAGCGTCCTCCTCCTGTCCCAGGCACGCACCAGATGACGCTTCGTCCTTCCACTGCTCCACAACGTGTCCCTCTGCCTTCTCCTCCTGCGTCCTCTCTTCCTGCCCTTGCTGACCCGGAGTCTGACTCTCTTCGTGCTGCTAGTCCTACTGTCACGCGTCTCCTGGCCACTGCTGTCACTGACCCTTCGGGAGTCCGCTGCTGCGTCTGCCTTAGTTGCTAAGCTTGTCGACTTTGCTGTTCACTATCGTCTAGACTACGCTGCGAGTCTTGTTGCTGAGTCTAAGTCTGTCTGTCCTCCGTCCGTCGAGGGTGAGTGTGCTCGTGGCATGGAGGTCCTTGAGGACACGCAGGAGGAGTTTGAGTGCTTTGCTGCTGCTGTACCTCATCTCGTGTCCATGCTGATTGCACCTGAGGGAGACCCGGATGCACCAGACATCCCGACCCCGCGCTCTTACGCTGAGGCGATCGCGGGTGAGTACTCCTCTCAGTGGCAGACAGCCATGGACGCAGAGATGGCATCCTGGAAGTCCACTGGCACTTACGTCGTCGAGGTTCCCCCTCCTGGGGCGAACATCGTCAGTGGCATGTGGATTCTCAAGGTGAAGCGGCCGCCAGGTTCTCCGCCTGTCTTCAAGGCTCGTTACGTTGCTCGAGGCTTCAATCAGCGAGAGGGAGTAGACTTCTTCCAGACCTTCTCCCCCACCCCGAAGATGACCACTCTTCGGGTGCTACTGCACGTTGCCGCTCAGCGTGACTACGAGCTTCACTCTCTTGACTTCAGCACAGCGTTCTTACAGGGCAGCCTGCACGAGAAGATCTGGCTGCGCCGCCCTCCTGGCTTCACTGGGTCGTTCCCTCCTGGTACCCAGTGGAGCCTCCGGCGGCCGTTCTACGCGCCAGGCGCCACGTGAGTGGCACGACACACTGAGGACTACACTTGCGGCTCTTGGGTTCGCGCCTTCTACTGCTGACCCGTTGCTGTTTCTGCGCACCGACACTTCGCTGCCGCCGTTCTACATCCTCGTGTACGTCGACGACTTGGTCTTTGCCACTGCTGACACTGAGGCTCTCGCCCTAGTGAAGTCGGAACTGCAGAAGAGACACATGTGCACAGACCTGGGTGAACTGCGCAGCTACCTTGGCTTGCAGACCACCCGGGACAGAGCACGCCGCACCATCACACTGACTCAGTCACACATGGTGCAGCAGGTCCTTCAGCGCTTCGGCTTCACCTGGTCCTCGGCACAGCCGACTCTTCTGGCTACAGGTCACTCGCTCTTAGCTCCACCTTCGGACGAGTCCGTAGAGCCGAGTGGTCGTTACCCAGAGCTAGTTGGCTGCCTCATGTACCTGATGACTTGCACTCGTCCTGACCTCGCGTACCCTCTTGGCCTTCTGGCTCGCTACGTGGCTCCTGGTCGGCACCGAAAGGTGCACATGGATGCTGCTAAGAGGGTACTGAGCTACTTGTGCAGTACATCAGGCATGGGGCTCATGCTAGGAGGGAGGAGCTCAATTGTTCTCACTGGGCACTCAGACGCTTCTTGGGTTGACGACTAGGCTACACAGGGGTCGTCACAGGGTTACACCTTCAGCCTTGGCTCTGGTTTTGTTTCTTGGTATTCTACACGGTCGTCTTCAATTCTCAGCTCCAGTTGTGAGGCTGAGATCTACGCCACAGCCATGGCTGCACAGGTTTTACGCTGGCTCACCTACCTGCTGACCGACTTGGGAGAGCGGCCTCGTTCTCCTCCAGTACTGTACGTCGACAACAAGGCTGCCATTGCCTTGTGTAAGGAGCACAGACTGGAGCACAGAACGAAGCACATTGCTCTGCGTTACTTCCTGGCTCGAGAGTTGCAGCAGCGTGGTCAGCTTCGTCTTGCTTACGTGGCCACTCGGGCCAACACTGCTGATATATTCACCAAGGCACTTCAGTCTGGTGATCATCAGCGTTTCTGCACTTTGCTAGGGCTTGTGCCCACTTTTCCTCACTTGTTGTAGGCTTTGCTTGTACTGTGATCTATATGTATATACGTGCATGCTTGCTTTGCTAGATAGAGATCACTGTGATGTTTGTGTTGCATATATGCCTCTGCATGTGAACTGGCCTTGTGGCCCTTTGCTTGTGCTAAGTGAGTGTGGTGACGTTGTGATCCACCCTGAGCTTGCTTTGCCTTTCTTGACTGGTCTTGTGACCCCTTGTTCTCCCCCACTTTGCCTATGGGGGTGTGTCAAATGTTATATCTGCTACAGTTTGTTTAGGCTGTGGTGGGTTAGTTACTATGGGGTACAGTAAGTTTAGGGTTTCCTACTTGTACCCACCTCTTCCCTAGTGCAAACACTCTTGTTCATTCTGACAACGCGCAACCAGTGAGGCCCTCGAAAGTCAAACAAGGTGAAAATGGGTGTTGATTCGCTGCAAATTTGAAATTCGCTACCGTTTTGATAATTTCTGCAGCCACTCGCGCTTCAGCAGCAGGGCCATCGGTGTGAGAGTACGACGGCTTCTGCTAGCTATGCTTGCTTGCCTTTAGGGCGGGTCCAGCGAGTACGTTTTCCGTACATTATAGTTCATCGAGTGCGGTAATCTGTATTGCGTGACGGTTTGAAACGGTGCAATTTTAGAACCGTTGTGCACCGCTTGATATCTTTTTCAAACCACTACAAATGAACTGTATTGTATCTGTAAACATACGCGCTGGACCCGCCCTAAAGCTACAGAATGTTGTACCCCCTAAGGCTAAACCCACTGTAGCCTACAGAACAGTAACATATACAATATTTGACACACCCCCATAGGCTAAGTGGGGGAGAACAAGGGGTCACAAGACCAGTCAAGAAAGACAAAGCAAGCTCAGGGTGGATCACAACGTCACCACACACTCTGAGCACAAGCAAGAGGCCACAAGGCCAGTTCACATGCAGAGGCATATATGTAACACAAGCATCACAGTGATCTATACCTAGCAAAGCAAGCATGCAGGTATATATATATAGATCACAGTACAGGCAAAGTCTACAATAAGTGAGGAAAAGTGGGCACAAGCCCTAGTGCAGAAACGCTGATGATCACCAAACTGAAGTGCCTTGGTGAATATATCAGCAGTGTTGCCCTGAGTGGCCACGTAACGCAGACGAAGCTGACCACGCTGCTGCAACTCTCGAGCCAGAAGTAACGTAGAGCGATGTGCTTCGTTCTGTGCTCCAGTTTGTGCTCCTCACACAAGGCAATGGCAGCCTTGTTGTCGACGTACAGCACTGGAGGAGAACGAGGCCGCTCTCCCAGGTCGGTCAGCAGGTAGGTGAGCCAGCGTAACTCCTGTGCAGCCATGGCTGTGGCGTAGATCTCAGCCTCACAACTGGAGCTGAGAACTGAAGACGAACGCGTAGAACGCCACGAAACTGAGCCAGAGCCAAGGCTGAAGGTGTAACCCTGTGACGACCGCTGAGTAGCCTGGTTGTCAACCCAAGAAGCGTCTGAGTGCCCAGTGAGAACAACTGAGCTCCTCCCTCCAAGCACGAGCCCCATGCCCGATGTATACTGCACAAGTAGCGCAATACCCTCTTTGCAGCATCCCAGTGCACCTTTCGGTGCCTACCAGGAGCCACGTAGCGGGCCAGAAGGCCAAGAGGGTACGCTAGGTCAGGACGAGTCCAAGTCATCAGGTACATGAGGCAGCCAACTAGCTCTGGGTAAGGACCACTCGGCTCTACGGACTCATCCAAAGGCAGAGCTGAGAGCGAGTGACCTGTAGCCAGAGGAGTCGCCTGTGCCGAGGACCAGGTGAAGCTGAAGCGCTGAAGGACCTGCTGCACCATCTGTGACTGAGTCAGTATGATGGTGCGGCGTGCTCTGTCCCGGGTGATCTGCAAGCCAAGGTAGCTGCGTAGTTCACCCAGGTCTGTGCACGTGTGTCTCTTCTGCAGCTCCGACTTCACGTGGGCGAGAGCCTTAGTGTCAGCAATGGCAAAGACCAAGTCGTCGACGTACACGAGGATGTAGAATGGCGGCAGCGAAGTGTCGGTGCGCAGAAACAGCGACGGGTCAGCAGTAGAAGGCGCGAACCCAAGAGCCGCAAGAGTAGTCCTCAGTGTGTCGTGCCACTCACGTGGCGCGTGGCGGAGACCGTAGACCGGCCGCCGGAGGCTCCACTGGGTACCAGGAGGAAACGACCCAGTGAAGCCAGGAGGGCGGCGCAGCCAGATCTCCTCGTGCAGGCTGCCCTGCAAGAAAGCTGTGCTGAAGTCAAGAGAGTGAAGCTCGTAGTCACGCTGAGCGGCAACGTGCAGTAGCACCCGAAGAGTGGTCATCTTCGGGGTGGGGGAGAAGGTCTGGAAGAAGTCTACTCCCTCTCGCTGACTGAAGCCTCGAGCAACGTAACGAGCCTTGAAGACAGGCGGAGAACCTGGCGGCCGCTTCCCCCTGAAAATCCACATGCCACTGACGATGTTCGCCCCAGGAGGGGGAACCTCGACGACGTAAGTGCCAGTGGACTTCCAGGATGCCATCTCTGCGTCCATGGCTGACTGCCACTGAGAGGAGTACTCACCCGCGATCGCCTCAGCGTAAGAGCGCGGGGTCGGGATGTCTAGTGCATCCGGGTCTCCCTCAGGTGCAATCAGCATGGACACGAGATGAGGTACAGCAGCGGCAAAGCACTCAAAGTCCTCCTGCCTGTCCTCAAGGACGTCCGTGCCTAGAGCACACTCACCCCCGACGGACGGAGGACAGACAGACTCAGACTCAGCAACAAGACTCGCAGCGTAGTCTAGACGACAGCGAGCAGCAAAGTCGACAAGCTCAGCAACTAGGGCAGACGCAGCAGCAGACTCAAAGGAAGGGTCAGTGACAGCCGTGGCCAGGAGACGCGTGATAGTAGGACTAGCAGCACGAAGAGAGTCAGACTCCGGGTCAGCAAGGGCAGGAAGAGAGGACGCAGGAGGAGAAGGCAGAGGGACTCGCTGTGGAGCAGTGGAAAGACGAAGCGTCATCTGGTGAGTGCCTGGGACAGCAGGAGGACGCTGACGCGGGACACTACGACCAGTGCGAGCAGCACGAACAAGTGACGTAGAACGAGACTCAGGCGACACAGGACGAGACTCCGGCTCACGACGCTCCGTAAGACCTCTTGTCGGACCAGTGTAGGGAGAAGGACTAGGAAGTGACGAGGCGGGCTGTAACTGTGCCTGCGACTGGATAGGCGGATGACACTCTAAGGAGGGAGCAGGACAAGGAGGAGGAGGCTGACCAAGAACCTGCTGAAGGAGCGGAACGAAGTATGGCCGCGGTCGTGAAGCGCCCTCAGAACCAGTAGAGACCGCACCAGAACCCCCAGCAGCAGCTCCAACTCCAGCAGTACTACCAGCAGCTCTAGTAGTGCCAACTCCAGTACCCCAAGTAGCGCCAGCTCCAGCCGCACCGTTGGCTCCAGCACCTGGAGGACCAACCCCAGGGTCGTCAGCGACACCAACTCCAGTAGGCCCGGCGTCCTCAGCTCCACCCGCAGCTCCAGCAGCTCCAGCACCTGCAGCTCCAACTCCAGCACCAGCAGCACCTCCAGTAGCACCAGCTCTAGCAGAACCCCCAGTCCCAGCAGCTCCAGTACCGCCTGTACGAGCACCTCCAGGACCAGAGGCTCCAGTACCTCCAGCAGCACTAGGGCCTCCAGCGGGCGGCACCCCAGTGCCAGGAGCGCCGCTCCGGAGGCTGCAGCGCCGAGCGTACCACTCACGTAGTCGCTGTGGGGAGGGAGGCAACGGCTGCGACCCAGCACCCGCAGCACCACCAGCTCAAACTCCGGCAGAACCCCCAGCTCCAGCAGCCCCACGCTGGAGGCTGTAACGCTGAGAGTACCACTCACGCAGCTGCTGTGAAGAGGGAGCGTCACCAGGTGCAGGACGGTCAATCTCAGCTCCCCCAGGCCCAGCACCCCAGGCTCAGCACCCCCGGGCTCAGCACCCCCAGTCTCAGCACCCCCAGTCTCATCACCCCCAGGCTCAGCACCCCCAGGCTCAGCACCCCTAGGCTCAGCACCCTCAGTCTCAGTACCCCCAGGCTCAGCACCCCCAGTCTCAGTACCCCTCGCAGGACCAGAGTCGACAGCTACCTCGACAGGCTCGACCGGGTCTACCTGGGAAACACCTGAGGGAGCAGGACCCTGGGGAGGGAGGGGGTCTACCGAAGCAGCACCTGGCGTGAGGAAGAGCGGCGGGGGGGGGGGAGCGGCGCAGTGCGGTAGGAGAAGAGACGGTAAAAGGGTACCGACTCGTCAAAAGTGACGTCCTGAGAGGGGAAGACACGGCGCGAGGTGGGGTGGTAAAACTGCCAGCCAGGCGCGTAAGGGACAAAGCCTTGAAAGACGCAGGGAACGGCACGGGAGGAGAGCTTGTCCGCTGACGTATCGCGGACAAAGGCTCGACATCCCCAGACTCGGAACACCGACGCATCGCCAACCTTCCCCGTCCAACGCAGTGTGGGCGAGGTCTCCGGAGCAGAGACCCGGGGCCAGAGGTTGAGCTGATGCGCAGCGTACTGCACTGCAAACGGCCACAGGAAATGGGGGGCAGCCGCATGGATCATAGAGGTATGAGCGACCTCCATGACTAAGCCAATGCGGCGCTCAGCAATCCCATTCTGCTGTGGAGAGGCCGGCAGTGTGAACGCCTGGCGGATGCCGTGCTCTGCACAGTAGGCTGCCAAGAGGTCAGAAGAAAACTCACCACCCCTGTCAGAGTGCAGACGCAGGACTGGAAAGTCCGACTGGAACCGGTCGCGGAGCTGGAGACGAGCAGCGCGGATCCAAGGGATCAAAACATCAGGGACCTCACCCTTGGTGCGCAAGGGGAAGACCGTGGTGTAGCGCGTGTAGTCGTCGACGACTAGCAGGAAGTACCGCTCGTGGCCCTGTCCACGGACGCGGGCTGGGCCCCACACGTCCAGGTGGAGAGTCTGCAGAGGAGCCTCTGTGGGAGGGAACGAGGAGGAGTGAGGAGTGGCGCGCTGCCGCCCCTCGACACAGGGAAGACAGGGAGGAGCAGGCGAGGGTGGGAGAGGAGGGAGAACCCTGGGAAGACCAGAGACAAGGTACCGGGAGTGCATGCCACGAAGGCACTGCACTGAAGGGTGACCAAGGCGGTGGTGCCAGAGGACAGTCTGGTGCGACAGGGTGCGAGACGAGCAGGGGGCCGACAGCTGACCTGACGCAGACGCAGACGCAGCTATCTGAGGGGACTCAGTGGTCAGTGTGTACAGGTCCGACCCCGGCTGCCGAGTAAAGGTAGCCAGGTGGCGACCCGTCCGAGCACACGTACAGTGGGTCACACGCTCATAGGCAGGGGTGAACTGGTGAACACCCCCGTCCTGGAGAGTAGAGCCCGCCACCAAGTTCGTAGAGAACGAGGGGAGGTAAAGACCCGACAGGGTGCCGGCCGGAACCGCCGGACAAGGGAGGACCTGTCAAACATTATATGTTTATATTGTGTAGGCTATAGTGGGTTTAGCCTTAGGGGGTACAGCTTTGTTAGGGTTTTCCTACTTGTATCCCCCTCCTACCTAGTTTCATGCATTCTCGTTCTATTCTAGATTCTAACATGGTATCACGAGCCTAGGTTGCTACCTAGGACCGCTTTCTACTATGGGCCCACTATTCCACTAGAAGCGCCCTCGTGCGCCCTACCTTACGTGCGCCCTCGTGCGCCTTTCTCTGCTAGTGCGCCTTCGTGCGCCCTCGTGCGCCCTCGTGCGCCTTTCTCTGCTAGTGCGCCTTCGTGCGCCTTCGTGCGCCCTCGTGCGCCCTCGTGCGCCCTCGTGCGCCCTCGTGCGCCCTCGAGCGCCCTTGTGCGCCCTCGAGCCGCCCCTGCAGGTCCGTCAGGCCCCCGAGCCGCCTCTGCAGACCCGTCAGCCCCCCCCCGAGCCGCCTCTGCAGGCCCGTCAGGCCCGAGAGCCGCCCCTGCAGACTCGTCAGGCCCGCGCGCAGCCTCTGCCCGACCGCGCGCCGCCCCTGCAGGCTCTCGCCGCCCGCCGCGTCGCCCTGCCCGCGGCGTCGCCGCCTGCCCGCGGCGTCGTCACCTGCCCGCGACGTAGCCCCTGCCCGCAGCGTCGTCGCCTGCCCGCGGCGTCGTCGCCTGCCTGCGGCGTCGTCGCCTGCCCGCGACGTAGCCCCTGCCCGCGACATCGTCGCCTACCCGCGGCGTCGTCGCCTGCCCGCGGCGTCGTCGCCTGCCCGCGGCGTCGTCACCTGCTCGCCGCGTCGCCCTGCCAGCGGCGTCGCCACCTGCTCGCGGCGTCGCCCTGCTCGCGGCGTCGTCACCTGCTCGCCGCGTCGCCCTGCTCGCGGCGTCGTCACCTGCTCGCCGCGTCGCCCTGCCCGCGGCGTCGTCACCTGCCCGCCGCGTCGCCCTGCCCGCGGCGTCGCCACCTGCCCGCCGCGTCGCCCTGCTCGCCGCGTCGCCCTGACCTAATCCGCGCCTGGCCTCTGGAGCAGCCGCCCCTGCAGCAGCCGCCCCTGGCCACTGGAGCAGCCGGCACTGCAGGAGCCGCCCCTCGCCCCTGGAGCAGCCGCCCCTGCAGCAGCCGCCCCTGCCCCCTGGAGCAACCACCGCTGCAGCAGCCGCCCCTGGACCCTGGAGCAGCCGCCACTGCAGCAGCCGCCCCTGGCACCTGGAGCAGCTGCCGTCGCGGCCCGGCCTCGCCCTGCAGCAGCTGCCGCGGAGCTCCCTGCTGCGGCCCGGCCCCGCCCTGCAGTTGTAGCGGCCCCGCTGTCGCCACCGTCTTGCGCCTGCCGCGCCGACCACTGGTGAGCATTGCCCTGCCAGCACTGCTACCGCTGCTACTGCTGCTACTGCCTTTTCTACTCCCACTGCTACTGCTCCTGCTGTTACTGCTGTTACTGCCGCTACTGCTACTACTGCTGCTCCTGGCGTGGCCAGATGCAGCTCCAGGGCCGTGCGCGTGAGTCCCTCACGCCCCAGCAGCTTCGTGAGTGGTACGCTAGTTGGGGCTGTCGGGGTGGCCGTAGTGGTAGTCGCTCTGGAGTGGGTCGGTCGGGAGCTTCTGGTAGTGGACAGGTGCAGCTGCCGTGTCCTCTTTCGCCCCAGCAGCTTCGTGCGTGGTACGCTAGTTGGGGCTGTCGGGGTGGCCGTAGTGGTAGTCGCTCTGGAGTGGGTCGGTTGGGAGCTTCTGGTAGTGGACAGGTGCAGCTGCCGTGTCCTCTCTCGCCCCAGCAGCTTCGTGAGTGGTACGCCAGTTGGGGCTGTCGGGGTGGCCGTAGTGGCAGTCGCTCTGGAGTGCGTCGTTCGGGAGCTTCTGGTAGTGGACAGGTGCAGCTGCCGTGTCCTGTGAGTGAGGCTGCCGCTCTAGGTGCTAGTGCGTCTGTTGCCCTAGGTGCTGGTGAGGCTACCACTCCCGGTACTCGCGTGTCTGCTACCCCAGGTGCTGGTGAGGCTGCTGCTCTAGGTGCTCGTGAGTCTGCGCCCCCTGGTACTGAGTCGACTGAGGCACTGCACACCTTCACTCTGGACTCAGGTGCTTCTCGCTGTTTCTTTCGTGACCGCACTGCCCTTGAGCCGCTTGCTCGGCCAGTTGCTGTCTCCCTCGCTGACCCCTCTGGGGGTCCGGTCATTGCGACCTCCTCCACTGTCCTTCCTTGTCCTGCGGTCCCGTCGGGCACACTGTCAGGTCTCCACCTCCCCTCGTTCTCTACGAACTTGGTGGCGGGTTGTGCGCTCCAGGACGGGGGTGTTCACCAGTTCACCCCTGCCTACGAGCGCGTGACACACTGCACGTGTGCTCGGACGGGCCGTCACCTGGCTACCTTCACTCGGCAGCCGGGGTCGGACCTGTACACACTGACCACTGAGTCCCCTCAGGTAGCTGCGTCTGCGTCTGCGTCAGGTCAGCTGTCGGCCCCCTGCTCGTGTCGCTCTCTGGCGCACGAGACCGTCCTCTGGCACCACCGACTTGGTCACCCGTCCGTGCAGCGCCTTCGTGCCATGCACAAACGGTACCTTGTCTCTGGTCTTCCCAGGGTTCTCTCTCCCCTCCTACCCTCGCCTGCTCCTCCCTGTCTTCCCTGTGTCGAGGGGCGGCAGCGCGCCGCTCCTCACTCCTCCTCGTTTCCCCCGACGACTGCTCCCTTGCAGATGCTCCACATGGACGTGTGGGGCCCAGCCCGCGTCCGTGGTCAGGGTCAGGAGAGGTACTTCCTGATAGTTGTTGACGACTACTCGCGCTACACCACGGTCTTCCCCTTGCGCACCAAGGGTGAGGTCCCTGATGTTTTGATCCCTTGGATCAGCGCTTCTCGTCTCCAGCTCAGCGAGCGTTTCCACTCGGACTTTCCTGTCCTGCGCTTGCACTCTGACAGAGGTGGTGAGTTCTCCTCCGACCTCTTGGCAGCCTACTGTGCGGAGCACGGCATCCGCCAGTCGTTCACGCTTCCGGCCTCTCCACAGCAGAATGGGGTTGCTGAACGCCGCATTGGCTTGGTCATGGAGGTCGCTCGTACCTCCTTGATCCATGCGGCTGCCCCCCACTTTCTGTGGCCGTTTGCAGTCCGATACGCTGCGCATCAGCTCAACCTCTGGCCCCGTGTCTCCGTTCCGGAGACTTTGCCGACACTGCGTTGGACAGGAGAGGTTGGCGATGCGTCACGCTTTCGGGTCTGGGGATCTCGAGCCTTTGTTCGCGATACGTCCGCGGACAAGCTCTCCTCCCGCGCTGTTCCTTGTGTCTTCCTTGGCTTTGTCCCGGACGCGTCTGGTTGGCAGTTTTACCACCCCACCTCGCGCCGTGTCCTGCCTTCTCAGGACGTCACTTTCGACGAGTCCGTCCCCTACTACCGCCTCTTCCCCTACCGCACTGCCCCGCTTCCCCCCCCGCCTCTCTTCCTCGCGCCAGGTGCTGCTGTGATAGACCCCCTCCCCCCTCAGGGTGCCGCTCCCTCAGGTGTGTCCCAGGTAGACTCGGTTGAGCCTGTCGAGGTAGCTGTCGACTCTCGTCCTGCTAGGGGTGCTGAGCCTGAGGGTGCTGAGCCTGAGTGTGCGGAGCCTGGGGTTGCGGAGTCTGGGGGTGCTGAGCCTGGGGGTGCGGAGCCTGGGGGTGCTGAGCCTGCGGGTGCTGAGTCTGGGGGTGCTGAGTCTGGAGGTGCTGAGCCTGGGAGTGCTACACCTGGAGGAGCTCTCTCCTCACAGCAGCTGCGTGAGTGGTACTTACAGTACTGCAGCCTCAGGAGAGGTGCTTCTGGAGCCAGGAGTACTGCTGGAGCTGGTGCTAGTGCTTCCCCTCCTAGGCGGGAGCTGCCCTCTCCCCAGCGGCTCCGAGAGTGGTACGCACGGCGCTGCAGTCTTCGGAGTGGCGCTCCTAGTGTCGCGGACCCAGCTGCTGGAGGTTCTGCTGCTGGCGGTGCTTCTGGCGCTGCTGGAGGTACTGCTGGTGCTGGAGCTGCTGGTGCTGCTGACGCTACTGGAGGTGCTGCTGGTGCTGGTGGTACTGCTGGTGCTGCTGGAGCTGCTGGAGGTGCTGCTGGTGCTGGGGCTGCTGGAGCTGCTGGAGGTGCTGCTTCTTCTGGAGGTGCGGCTGGTGCTGCGGACCCGGGCGTTGGAGTTGCTGCTGGTGCTGCGGACCCTGGAGTCGGAGCTGCTGCTGGTGCTGAGGACCCTGGAGTTGGAGCTGCTGCTGGTGCTGAGGACCCTGGCGCTGGTGTCTCTGCTGGTTCTAGAGACGCTGCGCGGCCGCGGCCGTACTTCGTTCCGCTCCTTCAGCAGGTTCTTGGTCAGCCTCCTCCTCCTTGTCCTCCTCCCTCCTTAGAGTGTCCTCCGTCTGTCCAGTCGCAGTCACAGTTACCGTCTGACTCCCCTCTCCCTGGTCCTTCTCCTTACACTGGTCCGACTGGAGGTCTTACGGAGCGTCGTGAGCCTGAGTCTCGTCCTGCGTCGCCTGAGTCTCGTCGAGCGTCGCCTGTTCGTGCTGCTCACACTGGTCGTCGTGTCCCGCGTCAGCGTCCTCCTGCTGTCCCAGGCACTCACCAGATGGCGCTTCGTCCTTCCACTGCTCCTCAGCGTGTCCCTCTCCCGTCTCCTCCTGCGTCCTCTCTTCCTGCT